CTACTACTACTACTACTATTCCTACAGACTACTACTACTACTACAGACTACTACTACAACAGACTACGACTACGACCACGACTACGACTACTACTACAGCGACTACGACCACGACTACGACTACTACTACAGCGACGACGATGACGACGACGACGACGACGACGACGACGACGACTACTACTATTTCCACCAGTACTAACACTAAGCGCCAAAACCCTAAATCTACTCCTGTTACAACTGGCACCACTTTGTAATACAAGTCCTAAAATGGTCAGAGGTTCACAGCTGGAGCATGTGCTGCAGCTGGCCTCCAGCGCTCCACTGGCGCCCCCTGCTACAATAAGAGAATGAGACGAAGAAGTAGTTGCAGCTGTAGTTGCAGTGGTATTAGTCATATTATTATTAGTAGTAGTAATAGTAGTAGTACTAATACTACTAGTCGTAATAATTAGTAATAGTAGTAGTAGTAGTAGTAGTAGTAGTAGCAGTGGTAGTAGAAGGTGTAGCAGTAGTAGTAGTAGTAGTAGTAGTAGCAGTAGCAGTAGTAGTAGTAGTAGTCGTAGAAGTAGTCGTAGTAATAGTGGTGGTAGTAGTAGTAGTAGTAGTAGTAGTAGTAGAAATAGTAGTAGTTGTTGTTGTTGTTGCTGCTGTTGCTGCTGTTGCTGCTGTTGCTGCTGTTGCTGTTGCTGTTGCTGTTGCTGTTGTTGTTGTTGTTGTTGCTGCAGCTGCTGTTGCTGTTGCTGCGGTCGCTGTTGCTGCTGTAGCAGTACAAGTAGTGGAAGTCGTCGTCGTAGTAGCAGTAATATGCAGTAGTAGTAGTAGTAGTAGTAGCAGTAGTAGTAGGAGTAGTAGAAGTAGTAGAAGTAGTAGAAGTACAAGTAGAAGTAGAAGTAGTAGTAATAATACCCACGCGTCGGATTTCCGACAGTGGGTTAATCCGCTATTGGTTGACCTCAACCGGTGTTGTGGCTGTGGGCATTCCCCATTCTTGCTGATTTGCTGCGAGGGCACAAACATCTGCTTTGGCACAAGGCACGTTTTTTTTGCATTTGCTGTGGGACTTCACTCATTTTCACATTTTTGTGCGCTCGCGCAATGGGAAGTCCACAATTTTCAGCACGACTACAATCCTTTCCTTAAAGATTTCAAGTATACAAATAATGCTTACATGGGGCCCTAAAGTCTGTAAATGTTAGCTATATTGAGACCTATATTGGGCAATTTGGATCCTTAGGGTGTTTGAGATCCGAAGATCATCTTCAAACGTAATCTCCCTATCATCCCACATGTATCTCTCGGAATCACGCTCCCGAAAGATCGTCCTGGCGTCAGTCTTGACATCTCTTGTAGAATCTCCGGGTACCCATGTATGACATAACACCCTAGATCCTAAACTCTGATGAGTCGCGCGCCTGGTTGAAAAGCCAGGTCTTGTTGTCCAGCGACGAGTCCCCAGCTAAGTAGATCCTTGTTTGGATGATTGGGAGACATTGCAAGACGTTTAGTGTTTAGGGTTCAGGGTAGTTTCCCTCTGGGCATCAAAAAAGCCTAGAGCAGGTCTTAGGGATTTTGACCCCCAGGATTTGCAGTTATGTTTTTTTCCCCGAACTGGCCCCCCATCTTTTGGCCAAAGAGTCGTAGTGCCTTGGTTGTGAAGCATCAGCAAACCATTCAGCAGTTGCTCCAGGTAACCTGAGCTGAAGAATCACTGTCTCAAAGCCAATAGCCACCGTCGATCCGCCCCAGCTAGTCGACTCACCTACCCCTAGTATCGAATCCATCCTACCCCCCAATAGGAGTACATTTGCTGTAAGATGTTGAGACTGTTCGGGGCCAGGGGAGGGGATTGCTTTGAAACACAAATGCAGCGATAGCATTTGAAAGGAATCCCCTTTGCAGAGGCCGACAAGTCTGTGTGCAAACATACCTGGCTCAGGATGTCAGCGCTTGGGGTTTCAGGGGTTTAGGGTTGAGGTTTAGAGTTTAAGGCTACAGAAACACCTTGTTCTTCTTACTTGCTGACCTACCCCAGGGACCAAAATAGCCCCATGCAGGTAATATTTACAAACCTTAGGGCCCAATGTAAGAATTATCTGTATACTTGGATCCCTATATAACCCAGTTTCCATGTCAGTTTCCATTTTCTTGTCCAGTTGATGCTCCACTATTGGTATTATTTGTATACCCTAGGGCTAATCTGAACCATCCTAGCTTTCAATTCAAAAAAACCTTTGGGGTGCGGTCACGTGGGGTCCTCATAACTTGCCCAGACTCTTGTCAAGATGTTGCGCATTCACTGTCACTGTCCCTAAACCCTAAACCCTTCCATTTTAAAGACTGCCAAAGAACGCGCTTCGTGCCCGTGATATGTGGCATAGAAAGGTCCTGGTCAGAGCATCTGAGGCAGCTACATGAACTGTCAACTCACAAATGTATAGCGCAGAGCATTGTCACACTTAAAGGAATGAGTCTAGCATACGCCACAAAGGCGCACATAGGTACATACATAAACGGTTCCCATCTGCATGCACATGTTGAGGAACAGGGGAAGGCTCTCACGCAAATCTAAGTGGTCCACACAGAGATTTTAGGGGTCCCTAAACCCTCAACCCTACACCAACCCTGTTCTTTGGGATACACTTTGCAAAGCTCACGCATGAACCTCTTCGGTGCCTGCTGGCACCATCTGCAGCTGCTGTGGCGCGTAGCTGCGAAATCGGGGCTCTGAAGCAAAGCAGTTGCCGAGCATTGACGCGGAGTCCTCAGGTTTACCCAATGGGTCCAAGTAACCGATATTCCTGTACTTGCCCAGTATCTGTGATACGATTACTACTACCAAACTCCCAAGTACCCAAGGACTGGGTACTGGGACCTTTAGCCTATAGGGCCAAGTCGAGCAGTCGATGTAAACAGGGATAATCCTTGCAGGAAGGATTTTGTTAGGCACATCTCTCTTG